TTTGTTTTGAAATAATTGGAAAAAAAAAAAGCGGTTGAATATAGATAAATGAAAACCCCTACAACCTTACAAGGAGGAGTTTAAAGTAACGTTTGTAACAAGCTGGGAAACCAAATCTTTATTGTGCGGTAGGTGGATATATTTTTTTCCTCAGGTTGGATAGGAAGGGACATCATCGAGAAATCTCCAACTTCTCGATTTCCTTTGGAGTTTGTCCAGTATATTCACATCCTATTAACTGACCAACCTTTGCATGTCGGAGTTTTTTACAGTGAAGACTGCAAAGTGACACAAATTATTACTAAACCCACAAATTATGCCACAATGTCAGGATGTCTTTCACTCTCTATGAATGGATGTGTAGATGTATGTTTTTTGTCCCGCTCCCGCTCATTAATTTGACACAATAGTCACTGGAATAATGCTATTAAATGCTCACGTCATCTCAATACATCGGACGTGTAATCCTTAATATGCAGGTAAAGCAGTTTCCGACACGATAATCCGGTGGCACAATTTCACGTGTTCACTCAGCCTCGGTAGGGAGCAGCATCACGGGGCCTGTGTCTTACACATAAGCCCCGTAATCGATTCCTACTTAAGTCACGTGCAGCCCCTACCGCCGACCGCAGCTCTCGTTCTACTCGTACAACAACCCATGTGAACCCGTAGGATGCCCCATGCCGTGATGGTGTGGGAGTGATAACCATGGATCGCAATCTTTCATTGCCCATCTTTGCAGACCACAATCTCGATCCCACACTTTACCGGATTTGTGGTGAAAGTACAGGCCCCGTGCAACTATTGCGTGGAGGTGTGGAGGTCGTGGTTGTTGACACCAATCGACAATCCTAAGCAACATCAAATAAGCTCCAATCTCAATTACTAGAGTGCAATCATGCAGAAATTAGGTCTATCAGAGTGTATGTGAGGTAACGTTATTTCGCTCTGCTTGCTGGCAGACAACTGTGTCACAATATTTCCATGCTCTGAGTCCAATACACTGTTCTATTTACCAAGAAGCATCAATAATTTCGTGGCCTTGGTAATGATACTGGCATGAAATATGAGGCCTCCTACTGTATGTATGCTGATGCCGCACAGTAGCACAGCCCAAAACCCATTCACTGGAATAACATCAACATTAATGTTTTCATCACGGCATAAACAGAGCTATACTTTTAGGCACGCAAAAAAACCCGTCGGCCGTCAATTCATAACGCACACGGCAGGTTCCATTATGTTCATGAAACGGGAGCGTACCTATCGTTTACCCATCCTATGTTCCCTGCTTTGTATGGGTGACCGGGGGGAAGCCCTAACCCCTAACCCTTAACCCTAACCTTAGCGGGGAAGGTAGGACCCAGGGAAGCATAGGGATGACCCCCCATGAACTCTATGTTTACCTTGCCCAAGGTCCTGTGTTTCAGCCTGTCTACAGGTGCGCTCTCCCGCAAATGCGCATGATGGTGTTAATTACCAAAGTACACTTTTATTGGTCGTTATTTACCTTTATAGGGAAGTTAAACTGAGTAGCAATGGTTTATTTTTTTAAGAAAACGCCTCAAACAGTTACACAAATACACGACCACCGAATTGGGGGTTAGGGGTCTTGCTCCGTGGGCACCTTCAGTTACTAGCTACCCCACCATATCTCCTGCCTGCAAGTACCAGGGAATCAGTCACAAGCCTTTCCCTCATAACCATTATAGACATGCCATTAACTTTTACAGTTAATCAATCTTACAACACCAATCAGTTAATTATTAAACTAATCAGTCTATGTGAAGATGTGAATAAGTCTTTATTGATATAATCTTAATTTAAAACCATTACGAGAAAACATGTACACAGTCTTTTAAATAATCGATGATGATAGTTTTCTATTAACTGAATCCTTGTGAGCTCCTCCCATCAGCTCGTATGCACTTGTGTTTAATTAGCTAATTAGCTAACCATGTTAACACACTAAACCTTTCCAAGATGGTAAACATGGCCAGCAATATTACCCAGCTGAAGATCAGCATGGGGTAACCTTTCCCGGTTATTGTTGAGCATGTTAGACATTCGCTGACATTAGCATTTAGTACAGCCAACCCAGAGCTAACTTATCGTACCTAGTCTTGTTGTTCAGGTATTCCTGTACAATTTGTTGTGTGTTGTTTGCCATTTGTTCTTTTTTCCTGATATATAAATGCAGTCACATGAAGACATCACAGTTGACAGTTTGCTTTTCGACACTTTTGCTTTGCCAATCAGGACTATGACATATTCTGAACGAGACAGTTGACGGCCACCAAGCCAGTAATTGGCCTTGAGGGTCACCAAAGGGATTCAAAGGGAAGATTTCAACAAAATAATACCTATATCAGACTTATTTTTCCTATGTATTCAGAATTAATTACAATTACCTGATACTAAATGCATTTTCTATAGTAACCTTTGTTTGAACAAAGCAGTACGAATCACAAGGCAGAGCTGGTAAATGCGTAAATAGTGAATGTTTGCGTCGCCCTGGTTCTCTTGACTAACGAAGACTTGCATTAAGAAATACACTTTCATAATAATCCGATTTTTTACAAGAGGCAGGACGGGTCGCCCCCCAATCGGAAGGTGTCTGGTTCGATTCCCGGCTCACTCACTGTGCACATGTTCAAAGTATCCTTGGAGCCCAGAAAAAATGATACTGAAATGTGCGTCATCGGTTGTGAATGTGTATGAATAGTTAGTTTCTGTTCCATGGCTTATGCATTCGCTGAGTGAATGTGTGTGAAGTAGTGAATGTGGCATGTAGGAAAAGCGCGCTAATTGGAGTGGTCGGAGACTAGAAAGGCGCATTACAAGGTACAGGTCCATTTACCACTCCATTTACCATTTACCAATGTATTGGTGGTGGTTTCACAATTTCATTTGTTACATTACAGTAGTGCTTGAATGGTATTTTTCTAATATTGGCGGCCCGATGTTTGAGAAAATGTAACAAAAGTGCCCTCGTTGGATGCTAATCCTAACCCTGACTAAGATATTTCACAAAATGCATCCCAACTTTCTGCACACTTGTGCCCTTCTTTTTTCACCCCTGCCCCTTAAATAGGCGGAGTCTGCCAGTGATTATTATCATAAACTGTTGCTGATGCTCCCAGCAGATGGAGTGAAAGCGCAGGATCTGAGACAGGTGTGCCCTGCAGAAATAAACATGTTTCCCTTCACAGAGAAATCTCAGTTGCAAATATGACAGTGACAAAATAAAACAGTTTAAAAGGTCCCTTCCACCCGTGAGAACAGAGCTGGTCCAGCAGGTTTAATGATTAAAATCAAGAACATTTTCAATAATAGCTATTCTATATAAGTTTCTTGTTCAGGGTTATTGGGCTGAGGCGGTGGTCTGGGGTGTTCTCAAAGGCAGGGGTGGAGGGCCATTAGGGGTGTAGCCTCCTGAACCCTCTGGCAGTGAATCACATACTGAGGAGAACATGTCATAACTGTGTAATCGTGCAATAACAATAACTTCTGCATACATTGCCCATGACACATTCTGGCAACTTTCAGTTATTTATCAAAGCTCACAACACACACAACCAATCAAACATATGAGTAATGGACATTTAAAACAACAACAATCAGCTGGAGATGCTGGAAAGAAAACTTGCAGGCGGCTTTCTGGAGATAATCAGGGGAGACCTGACCTCCCCATCTGGTCTGATTGCTCATGGCATCTCATTGAAACGCTGATAACCAAAGGCAGAGGACTGCAGAAGACAACGGCAGAAAGGGAGATAAAGACAGAGGGAGAGAGTGCAGGTCTGACAGATGGGTCACAAATGTGGATGAGAGCGCTCTCTCCTAAAAAAAACAAAAAAAACAAGAAAGTCCAGTCTCCAGTATCCAGCATGCTACATTCTTTTCTTCTTCAGCTCTTAAATCTATTCCCTCAGGCAATGTGAAAAGTGAAAAAGTCTTATTTTTTGCACTTGGGATGAATGCGATCAATGAAAAAACAGCCTGATTCCCAACTTTCAGTCCCATTATTAAAACAGTTAGTCTCTGAGGATCCTGTCTGTGTCATGGCCACATTCAAATTCCCACATGGTTCATTTACATGACATGAAACTGCATGGGAATGTCTGCAGACTTACAGAATTGCCTATTTTTTTCATCTGAACATCTGAAAGATGTTCAAGGCTGAAGCCAGGGAAAATATTTTAGATTTAGGTTGCAAAATGTTTTGACTCTCTGCGGGTTTGTAAAAGACAGTTCAGAATAGATCATTCATGTATTCAGGCCTCTCCTGAAACAGTGAAGCAACATCATACAACTTCAAGATAGGGTCTTAAAGGAATGTTTTTGTCATGAAATTCTGGAGCACAATACACAAAATATGTTAATAATATGCAGTGTGCTGTAACAGCCTGCACCACTCTGAGAAGGCTTTCTACGGCATTTTGGAGCCTGTTTGCAGGGATTTGCCCCCAGTCTGTGTTCCAATTCCTCCCAAAGGTGTTGGAAGGGGTTGAGGTCAGTGCAGAGCTCTGTGCAGACCAGTGAAGACCGATCAACCTTTTCCACCATAATGGAAAAAAACACTTCCATTAAGAAGCATTGAAGCGAGAGGGTCAGAAAAAAGAAAGACACTGTATGCTGTAATATTTACCTTTATTGGAACTAAGGGGTCTAGCCAAAATGTAAAAAAGTACTCCGTCCACATACTTTTGGCCATATTATGCACCAAAAAGATTTTTAAAATTGAGGGAAAGTCTGCTCTGGAGTTAATTTCGTGTATTTCCAACAGGTTCTCAAACCTAAATGACAAGGAGGGTTTATCCGAGCCTTCCGAAACAACTGCCACTTCTATGGTTGAGGGTTGGTTTAGTTCAGGCACGGTTGAGAGAAACCATTGTTTAGTGTTGGTAGGAGACCATGTTGTGATTGTAAAACCTCTATAAACATATATCTGCATATGAATGCAGAATCTGTAGGCAAGGGAGAGATTTTGGCATCCATTTGTCAAGTAGTATTGGCAAATCACGTCAGGGCTTTGGTTGCGTGCAGATAGTCGGTGTGGAGAAAATAATTATGTAACGATGTAATTTAGCCTTCTTCAAAACGATCTACATTCATTTGCAGATATCTGTTTATACTGATTATCTGAAATGTGTCTTTTATTTTTCTTGCACATTTGGAACGGCAGGGTGAGTCGAGGGAGTTGTAATCTGGAACTCAGCTAGATGCCACTAAATCCTACACACTGGTCAGCTGGTTGGACCAAAGGATCATGCCATTGTTTTTCTCATGGGGAAACTTCCTTCAATTAACAGACAAAAAGTCACTCCTCCTCTCCCCGTTACTCTTTCTATTCCATTCTTTTTCTTCCACAACCACTCTCCAATCTCACTTTGTTCTCCCATCTCTCACATCTTTTTCTCACCAGCCATCACTCGTCTCCTTCTTTCCACTACCTTCCTTTTTAACTCTCTCCCCTGCTCCCTCACTGGCCTCCCAGCAGCTCATCACTCGCCTTATTCTCCTCCTCCTCCTCTCCCTCTCAGAACTCTCTCTTTCTCCTCCTCTTTCTCCCTGCTCTGTTGTGCAGACACAAACATACTTCCCGGCGGAGAGTCTGCAGTGTGCTGCCAGTCTGTGAGCTGGAGAGACACTCAGACGACACACTCAAGAGAAATCCTCAAAGACAAACTTTGGTTGTAACTTCTTTTACTTTTTACGACTGTGGACTTTTGCTTTTCTTATTTCCTCTGAGGGTTGATTTATTTCCACAGAAAGCTGCAATGCTTCCATTCTACCTTTTGACTTTTGCTGGTGAGTGCGTTTTAATGGTCGTGCCAGTGTTGGTGCATGAGGGCATGTTTCTGTTAATGCCAGTTGCTATGATTCATATTTACCATTCCTCTCTCTTCTCTCCGCTCTCTATGCACAGCCACCATCCAGGCCCACAACCAGCTGTTGCCAGGCTCCTGCAACTTTGAGTCCAACACCTGCGGATACACGTCAGATGCAGACTTGACAAGCTGGACCCTGCACAAAGATGGTACTGGGAGACTTTAAAAGATGCCACAGAGCATCTTCAGTCCTCTAATTTTTAGGTTATGTTTTATGTTTTTTAGTTTAGAGGCTTGTAGTAAGTGTAGACTTTATTGTGGCACACTGGTGAAAAGAACCCCATCTGGTCTGCACTGATTCCAGCATCTCCAAACATCTGGAGTGAGTGAAATAACAGATTTAGGCATTCTCGCTGGGTTGGTACTGCAGCTGATACAGATGTGCTGTGCACACCCATATCTGAGTTCTATCAGTGTCTATGTATGTAAAGTGATCAAAGCCAGCAGATGATCGCAGATTAGACGATAGATTTGTACAATTGCCCTGTTGTAGAAATAACACAACTGTTGCTAACCTTCTCACGTTCCCATTTGCTGTATCTGTACTGAGATTTAATACAAATGGAGACTATTTTGTGTAGATCAAAGTCCATGCACAAAGTGTTGAGAAGGGTGTAGCTGCAGATACATCTGGAGACAGATACCTCATGCTGCACTAGCAGCAGGATCCTGTCATATTAACTGTGACATGAAGTGTGGCTTGATTTAAGAGGTGGAGGTCATGTTGATGTTTCAAAGTACTATATTCTTATACTGTATAGTCTTTGACCTGATCTTATCTACACAAAAGCTTTAAATAAATCTAAGCATTTTTCACCTAACACACCTAAACTTGGCTGGCCAGACTCATAATGAATGATGCACCAAGTATGGTGTGATTGCAGGTGCTGACAGCATAAATCGACAGCCATGGGCAAGAGCGAGAAGTGTCAGAACATATCTGAATGTGACAACTTATCAGTAAACTTAAACACCTCTAAACTAATACCAATATCTTAACTAGCTTTAACCTTCTGGTAACTAAAGGAGTGGATACAACCTAGTATGAATATGCATCCCTTCTTCTTCTTCTTACTTCTTTAAACAAACAGTTCAACCTTAATATGCTTATTTGCTTTCTTTCTGAGAGTGAGAAGAGAAGATCGATATCAGTCTCAATGCATTTGCTGGGGAGCTTGAGTCACGAGGCGATTTAACCTAGCTTAGCATAAAGACTGTAAGCGGAGGATAAAGCTAGCCTCTCTCTAAATTTCAAAAACAGAAATGTAAAAACGATTTATGGCTTTGAAGGGAGTTACCTGTTGGAATTATTTCTTGTCAAATAACAGCAGGGTGCAGTGAATTTCCGGACCCATGGTGTCGCGGTTGCCAGCAGAAATAGCAGAATACTGCTTTGAAGTGCTGGGCAGATGTCGATCGTCTAGAACTTTTTCCAGCGTGTAACTCGTGTACTGATTAAACAAACAAGATAAATGCATTAATGAGTGAGTTTTGTAGCTGTTGATATATTTATTTGGTATATTTTTTAACTTTGGACATAGCCAAGCTCCTGTTTTCAGTCTTTATGCTAAGCTAGGCTAACATTATCTTAACTTCAGCTCTGTAACCCACATACATTGTTGACTATTTATTGAATGTTTTAAACAATCATCAGGTATATAAAAGGTGAGAAATAATGACAAAAGTAAACAGAGCTAGCAATGACATCTGCAGACTGCTTAGATTGTATAAGCAGTGACAGTAACTTCATATTTAAAAGGCTGGAAGGAGCAAATAGCTGCTATTTTTACTTGTTAAAAGAGTTAATTGATTACCAAAGTTGGCATCAAATAGACAAACCACTTGATTGACTGATTGCTTCTGCACTACTGAAAGGTCCAATCAGAACTCATATTGCATATAACAATCTCTCATCTAGACTTATTTGATTGGTGAGGCAGACTTCCTCCTAGTGTGCCAGGGAACTGCTGCTCCAGTAGCTACTGTATCTGCAGCCAGACCCTGTTGGAAAAACTCCTTATTAAGACTCTTTTTTCCCCCAACATAATCCTTGTATCGTACTTGTCTGAAAATTGCTCTGCTGTTGCAGCCTGTCTTGCTGTCAGTATTCCCTCTGGGATACGTCAACTACTTTCTTTTTTCCTGTTTTCATCCCTGTTGCTATTGCCGACGGCTTGTTAAAAAGGTCAGTGTAGCTGGTACGTTAATGGTGGGCTGATTTACTCTCCTCTCACTCAGTCTTCCGTTCCCTTTGGTGGTTTGTGCAGTGAAGTGAAGTCATGTCAAATATACAAAGCTCTTTTTGTGTATTTTCTTCTTGTCTGAATCCAAAGATGGCATTCACACTGATTCCATTGACTGGTCGGTTTCAGTGTGTCCCAAGGATATGATCGATTAAGTTTCAGTTCAGTCAATACACACATTTGCAAACAATTGCAGTTTATTGGCAACAAAAGAAGAAAAACGTCTTTAATTGACCAAATTCAAGGTGAAATGAGCTCAGCCCTGCAGTGAGTGTGTGTTTGGATACATGTGTCTTTGTCAGGATATAGGAGCCCTGGGGCAGCAGGGCATTCCACAGGGACAAATAATAAATGACAGACCAGTGACGAGAGCTCAGGGGCCCCTGGAGCAGAAAAGAAGCTAAGAGCTGTTATGGTAGGAGCTCAGGTGGATTTTATGTTATAAAGTCAGAGGGTCTTGATTTTAGACATCATTCCTGATGTATAATGCCTGATTTGCTTAATTTCAGGTAAAAGTTGCATTAGAAACAGTGCCCATGCTATAACTTGTTTTTCTCCCTTCTATTCTAGAAACTCTTCTCTTTTGGGAATTAGAATAGATACCTAGTACATTTCACACATTTCACACATTTCACACAGGGCTTCATATCCTACAGAAGATCGCTGCTCAAATGTGAACTTTGGGTTACCAGAATATCAGTTTGTAAAGAAATTATGATCAACAGTCATTTAGTGTTTTAGCAATGTTTCTGCTGGTGTCACTTTGTTAGTCAGTCCACCACTTTGTCCAATACTTTGGTAAACGACCAAATACCTGCAAAACTGACATTCCCATCAGCCTCAGCTGTACTAAATGCTAATCAGCAACTGTTAGCAGGCTAACATGCTAAACTGTAATGGTGACCATGGCAAATATTACCTGCTAAATGTCAACCCGTGACATTCTCCGAGAACGTATGTGACTGTGTGCCAAGCACTTGGATTTATGTTTGTATCTGTTTGTATGTTTGAGGGTAACATTACTCCCCGTAATTACAATAATCTTTTCTTTTTTTTTTTGTCAGCAACTTCTAAATGTTTTTTCTAAATCCAACGTACCTTTTTGTTTCAGGCCGTTTTGTTGCAGTGGATGCAGCCATGGAATATGACCTGGAGGATGGGGTAACTGCAGATGCCGGATCACAGAGAGAGATCACAGGGGTCCTGCTGAGCCCGGCTCTGGAGCAAGGAGAGTGGAGCTGTCTGAGGCTGGTCTACCAGATCACTGAATCAGGGCGCCTGGAAGTCCGGCAGCGCACAGAGGGCGAGAGCTTTGACAAACCGCTGTGGAGCAGCCAGGCGCCCTCTGACAGCTGGGTCATCTCAAGCATGGACCTGCAGAACAACACTGAGCCATACAGGGTAAAACACTTTCAATCTTTCTTTGGGATACTAGCTTGAAATAAGTCCAAAGTTCCTCAAATGATCCCTGGAGGTTGTTCATTTTATCCCAAATATGAAAGCATTGGATGAAACAAACAGTATGCTGATAATTAGAGCCTAACCAGTGGCTCTAATAGTGTAATATTTGTGCTAAGGGTATACCTCTAGAGGAAAGTTCATTCACTGTTCCAAAATGTATTTTTTCTGAAAGTACAGAACTTCAAGATGGACCAAAAAGGCGTACTGCACTAATTAACTAATTATTTACTATTTTTAGAATTTAATCAAAGATTACAAGTGCACTGTGTCACAGCAATGAGTACTTTTCCATCCCTCTTTAGTTAAAAAAAACAGCAGATGTGCAGAAAACATGTCCTACTGGTGTTGAAAGGAGGAAATATATAGGTTGACATTATACATGCAGGCCCAAATTGAGGCCAATATGAAGTGTGTGGAGAAACACATACAGCTACACCCACGCACATTATCCAAACACTGTGTGGGAATAGTACAGCACATGTTATATTATATGCAGAGGCTCTGACAGGGTTGTGACCTGTATGATGGTAAGTTGGGTCTGTGCAATGGGTGGGCCCCTCAGCACATAAACATATTTCAGTCCAGACCTAGGTGGACAAATGAATATGACAGAGGTTTAAACTTCACACTGACCAATAAAATGCTTTGCTTTTTACTCTCACTGAACCCGAACCCAGCAACTTATTCTCATGGCTGTAATTTCTTAAGAAAATGACAGCTCTGTTTTCCAAATTTCAAATGACTGTCATGAACAACTAAAAAACACTTCAATCACTTTAGAAGAGAAGATCTATACCAATCTCACATTGGTGTGTTAAATATGGGGCAGGAGTCAGGATGCGGTTAGGTTAGCTTAGCTTAGCAAAAAAAGTCTGGAGGCATTTTTACATTTGTGTTGGTGTATGGGTGAAACAAACCAGATTCAGTATGTTAATTATCTAGCTTTAGTAGTGTTGGTAGAGCACATTTTTCCCTTTACAGAGAACCAGGCTAGCTGCTTCCTTCTGTTTCCAGCCTTCATGCTAATTAAGCTAACCACGTCCTGACTCTAGCACTGTATTTAACACGCAGGCATGAATGATATCAATCTTGACATCAACAACTCTTGTAAAGAAAGCAAATAAGCATATTTTCTAAAATGTTAAACTATTCCTCTAAAGGCAACAGAACATTCTTATTTCTCTAAAGCTTTGTTGTCTAATCCACAATACCAGACTAAATGTATTTTTGGATGAGGCAAAAACAGTGCAAGTTGTAATTAA